TCTTCTTTTACTTACATCGGACAGTCCATGAAATACATTTCTTAACAAGTCAGTGTTTATCAAGATCTGCCATGAACTCAGTAGATGACTGCAGTTCACTCACCATGCTGTCATTGTAAGCCGTCTGTTCAGTAGCCCACTGTTTTAGGTGTCTTCCATAACTGGTAAATAAGTCAGAGTAACTTTCCCCAACCAGTGACAAACAGTGAGAGGCCGTACCACTTCTTAAGCGTGCATGAGACCCCATGTGTGAATAGTAATAGTGAAAGAAGACAGCCAGATGATTGGCAGCCGCGTTTCAACATCACGCAGAATTTCAAAAATGGGCTTTTATCTTTGGAGAATACTGAGAGCATCAAAGAATTTTCCTCCTAAGTATGCAGTGGAAGAGCAATATATCATAGACTATTTAAAACACCTTACCACACTAAAGCAAATGAAAACCATTAGGGAAAAAGGTAGAAAGAAACAACAAAAAAAGAAGCAGGAAAAATGTCATAGTGATTATGACTGTATTTCTTTGGTGTTGAATGGGACACTAAAAACATTGAAAGCAATTACCAGTGATGTAATCAGAAAATCATATAAAGATCAAGCAAAAACACATAAAATCACTGAACATTTACAAACTGTAAACACCAGAATGTACAACACTGATGAAACTGACTCAGAGGACTCTGATGGTGATGATCTCATTGACAGTGCAGAGGAAATAGAGACTGATGACTTAATAGTACCTTAAACTGTAGTGACGAGGTCAGGGAGAAGAGCTGGAACCTGGAAGCATGCAACGATTCATTAAATGTAAATCTTTATTGTTTAAAAAAAAAAAAAATTCATGGGGGGGGGGGCGCTACCATATTTTGTCTTTTTCTAGGGGGGGACAGCCCAATTTTTAATATACACCTAGGGGGGGACTTGTGATTATTTAACAATAACATGTGAAATTCACCGGCACCCCCTCGGTCAAATTAACTGGTGATTCCCTTATATGTATGTGCTGAATTTTGAGATTTTAAAACTGAAACGGCATACCCTATTCAAGATTCTGTGGTATCCCGCTATCATGGTACTTACGGGATCTAGTTTCGGTCGTGAAATTTGCTCAGTGTAAAATTTACAATTCTAAATTGTACAATAAGTACTCGTAGTAGTGAAACATCTAGCACCGGTAACGGTAATTTTGCTAGAACAACGTGTACCACATTAGTTATATTATTAGAAATATTATAAATTATTATTAGAAATACAATACCTTTTCATTGGAACTATACAGACAAGATTAGCATGGCCCCTGCGTAAGAATGACACGCAAATTATTTCATACTTTTTCTTTCCTATAAGTTGTGCTCTTTTGTACCGTCAAAAGGGAAGTTGTTTTTTCAACAGCGCCACCACGCAGCACATTCGGAAAGAGTTACTTAGGTAAACAAATGAAGCGATGTGTCTGTGTTTAGAGGGCGCTCTCGCTTGACCTTAATTTGGGTCTCCCAACGAGGGCAGAGGTTGGTAAAAAGGAGTGATTGTAATCCTTTGATAGAAGCCGAAATTCCTGTTACGCCTGTGTGTGACCGCGTAACACACGTACAAGACGTCCCCGGGCGGCATGCCTGTGATCTCATCTCCATATTCAAGTCAGGAAACGCGAGGTAAGAGCAATTATTGTTTCATATTTGGAATGTTTTCATTGAGATCGATTGGGATTCAAAATGGCGTATGATGTGCGAAAATGGGGTGCCTTACCCACTTTAGATAATTACAACGTGGTGTCGTATCGGCGATTTCATCTTCCTGCAAAGTAGCAAAGCTTTATCGCGCTTTGCTGTTTTACCACCCAGCTCGAACTGCCTCGCCTGTGCCATAAACGAGTTTAACAAACTGGCTGCAAAATTACGGCGCAATAAAAAATGTATACACTGTACTACTAACATTCTAGTTGGGTATAATTCACGTTGTTTACTGTTTATATAATATTAGAATGTGAACTTCCGTTACTAGTATACCCCGTTCTAATCATCTGAACTCTACGTAATGTTCGAAACCATTAAACAAGTCGATTCATAATGGGTGAATTGTTCAATCAAAAACAAAGGGCGAGCGAAACTAGGCGAAGGTATCATAATTAACACGTGTGAAGATGGCTAATGTTGGTGTGAACGTCGGAAACGCAGTAGTTTAAACCACAGTCCGGAATAGAGGGACTGTGTTTAAACTGAAGTTCGTATGCATTTTACTTTTTAGGACCAAAACTATTACCAGTTCTTTGCACATGATTGCTTTCTTTTACGTTCTGTAATGACATGTTCAACTGTTTTACTCTTTACCGTACGTTCCTTCACATCAATGTCCCCAAGTCGAGTCGTTTGCGATAAAGATATTATTATTACTATGTTCTTTGCACCGTATATTCATAACTTAGTTTCATGAATGTCCAAGTTGGTTTTGAGGGAACAAGCTAGTTAATGCATGCTTTTTTCTCAAATATCTTGTCAGTGTCACTGGTTTTTTTTTCTATATGGAAACTGCAAGTGCAAGTGCTGATATACTATGCATTTTGTCACAGAAATCATATTCCATGTTTGGGACAAAATATAGTTAAATGAAAGAAAAAATAGTTTCTCCTTTTTTTTTTCTTGTTCATACTTATCTCAAGGGCTGATTATATTTAGAGTGAGTTCACCATTATATTAACTACCAGTAACAACGATTTAAAAACATGTTAGTAAATAGTATGGGTAAAGAAGCCATTGCTTATACCTTGTACGGGTACATAGTGTCTGGATTTCTAAATAGTTTTAAAATGTCTTACTTTTGTCTTTACATTTTTAGTGCTTTGCAAAAGTTTGAAAGACACCATATTTTTGCAGAGGTCATGAAATGTCTTAAAAATGTGAGGAATTTCAAAATTGTTGGGGTTGAAAATTTATTTATCATTTCTGCATGTTGTCGATGTGTGTTCTATAATTACATCAGTTCTAGTTTCAGTGAGATCTTGTAATCTGTAATCGTGACTAACGCTATAAAACAATGCTGTGATATTTCTGTACAGCAATCATAACACACACATGCTGGGTGACAAAAAATCACATGTTTTTATATCCTAGGTGTTTTATGATAGCACTCGTAAAAGGAGGTTGACAGCCTGCTGTAGTTTCTGTGTTTGTTTGAAAACTATGTTATTAGTTCAGGTGTTCATAGTCCAGAAAAAATGTGTTTTTTTTAACAGTCCCCTAATTGCAAGAAACAAATATTTGCATTTTAGGTAAATGTGCTTAGCATTTAAAAATATGTATGTCTCTTTTTAGCTCCGCTGTCGACTTTGTCAAGTGAAGCTTATCATATGAGTGATTGTTCGTCGTTCGTGTCAACTTTTTACGTTTTCGACTTCTTCTTGAAAACTACAATTCTTATTGCTTTGATACTTAGTGTGTATGTACCTTGGGTAGACCTCTCTTAGATATATTCATTTTGTGATGATATCTTTAATTCTCTAATTTTGTGGAATATTTTTGTAATTTTTAGTAAAACATATTTTCAACTGATTGCTTTGATATTATACATATAGTTACCTCACGCAGGTCTCTTTCAGATTTGTTCATTTCAAGATGATATCTTCAATTCTCCAATTATGAAGAAATTTTTGTCATTTTTGGTAAAAAGTGATATTTTTGACTTCTTGTTAAAAAACGCAAGTCTGATTGCTTTGATACTATACATATAGGTACCTCAGGTAGACCTCTCTCAGATTTGTTCATTTTCTAATGATTTCTTCAGATCTTTAATTGAAATGTGCATTGCTAATAGCAGAGCCATCTCAGCTGAGACGCTGGTTGTTACATCGTACATGAATGTTTTTGTTAGAATTCTTAAGAAGAACGATCATTTTGAAATAAAGTAGCCTAAGATTCACAATTCTTGTTCAGCTGTTGCCAAGGTAATAGCTTAGTAGATGATGACAAATTACAAAAGTTATTCAGTAAACCGTTAAATGCTTATTATTAGATATTATCAGAGCGTTTACAGTGACAAATTTCTGTCTCATTGAGCACAGAAGTCTGCTTTTGTAATCTTGTATAACATTTTTTCAAAATTTTAATAAAGATCTGTAGCCAAGAAAAAATTGTCTATTTATTCGAAAGTTATCACCAAAAACAATGTAAAAAATACATAGAAATGTACAATGGTTTTAGAACCCATTGGAATATGGACTCCTGCAATTATTTGTAATTTCCCATTACTCACGAAATTTAAAATTCAAATAAATATGAATGACTTTAATTCAATAAATCAACTCTATCTCATTGACTGCCATAAACTTTGCGACCAAAAATTTGGTACAATATTTGCAATTTTTTTTTTCTGTAATTCATGGACCTAATTCCCAATAGACATTGGATGCAAGAGACTGTCAAGATTTTGTAGATAGTAAGAGAGCCCCAAGCCCCTCAAGTAGTTGTCCATTTTCTCTTGTCATCACATTTTCACAAAGGTCTGGGACAGTTGACGTAATTACAGAATAAAACCCTATTTGGGTACCAAAGTAAGTCATGTGACTCAATCTTGATGAGATCTTAGCGTTCGTTCGTATTATTTCGCAAAGGGAAAATTTGTGAGCAAGTTTTTCAATGCTGCCATATACACATGTATAAAGTCAAATTTATGTGGATGGTCATTTAAGACAGACAGATCAAAGGATGATCTGTGTGTAATAACAAAATAAACGATTCTCCGTAATTTGCACTAATTTGTGATGAAAATATTTACACTATAAGGTTATTACGAAGATACCTCAAAGTATGCACAAAGACAGTACAGGTGCAGTATCGACCGACGCATAGACGTGGAATTCGCTTTTCTAAATATGGTAGTATGAAAATACCACGTAAAATACTGCAAAATTACGGCACGCTGTAACTTATGGCGTTACGGTGACAGATGTATAACAATGAATTATATTTTCTGTGATTTGTTATTCTAATGAGAAATCATACAGCAAAAAAAAAGGTGAAACCATTTTGTGCATATTTAAATAATTTTATTGATTTGCGGCATGATTCATATATGCAAATATAAAATACTAAAAGCCATTGCTTGTCTTTGTGGAAATTAGATCTGAAATGCATTGCAACTGAAAATAAAATTGTATTTGGTATCAAAAATAATAATTCGGTCATTTCGGTAAAATTACCAGCATGGAGTCAAGATTTACACTCGCAATAAAATGTTTTATTATGACTATTCTGGTTTGTGAGTTCTCTGTATACACATGGCTTAAAGTAGGTCATACTTTTTGATAAAAGTATATAAAACTACAGATAAAATAAATGATAAAAAACATTTTATTAGCTCAATCTAATCATACCTGATCCACTTGCTTAGTGAAGCAGAAATGTTTGAGATAGCACATCAAGTTAGTACTACCGGGGTATAATTTATTAGCATCAAGTTCTAGTAGAAATGTGTACTGTATTTGGTCTATTAGAAGTGCATCTCCAATAGAAGTGCATGTAAACCAACAGTGGTACTGTATTTGGTCTATTAGAAGCGCATCTCCAATAGAAGTGCATGTAAACCAACAGTTGTACTGTATTTGGTCTATTAGAAGGGCATCTCAAATAGAAGTGCACGTAAACCAACAGTTGTACTGTATTTGCTCTATTAGAAGGGCATCTCCAATAGAAGTGCATGTAAACCAACAGTTGTACTGTATTTGGTCTATTAGAAGGGCATCTCAAATAGAAGTGCATGTAAACCAACAGTTGTACTGTATTTGCTCTATTAGAAGGGCATCTCCAATAGAAGTGCATGTAAACCAACAGTGGTACTATATTTGGTCTATTAGAAGCGCATCTTCAACAGAAGTGCATGTAAACCAACAGTTGTACTGTATTTGCTCTATTAGAAGTGCATCTCCAATAGAAGTGCATGTAAACCAACAGTTGTACTGTATTTGCTCTATGAGAAGGGCATCTCCAATAGAAGTGCATGTAAACCAACAGTTGTACTGTATTTGCTCTATGAGAAGGGCATCTCCAATAGAATTGCATGTAAACCAACAGTTGTACTGTATTTGGTCTATTAGAAGCACATCTCCAATAGAAGTGCATGTAAACCAACAGTTGTACTGTATTTGGTCTATTAGAAGCACATCTCCAGTAGTAGTAGTGCATATAAACCAAAACTTATGTATGAATATTTAGAATATACCTTATTTTACACATTAATACTTCTGTAATATTCGTAAGTACATACACTACTAAATGTGGTACTATTTATTACCTCTGGTGGTGACAAAATATAATTTAAATTTATTTTCATGTTTTAGTTATTTTAAAGAATGTAACAGAAACTGAAATAAGATTAGGAGAGTAGTTAGAAATATTGCACTACAACTAGAGAAATCCTGTAATGCATATGTTTCATACCACGAGTATAATAAATTGTTTTTTTCGTATTCGTCCATGCTGACAGAATGCTGGGGAGACCAATGTACTGTGTACTGTAAAACCTCTCTATATACACAACCCTGTGTTTTTACTGAATATCTTATCCTCGGAATTCTCAAGAGATTTGTGCATTGAATCCCTCTACAAATTGATTACTTTTATATCCAGGTCTCTATGGTGTTCCGTTTAGACAGGTTTTAATG